ATAAACATTTATCATGATATAAGGAAATATAAATAACAACTTTATTATTGCCTCTAGGGCATATTTCCTTCAGTCTCCCACTTGCACAAAAGCAATAATCTAGATTAAATTGTAGTGATTCTAACACCCATGGAGTCTTGGTGTTGATCATGTTTTGCTCGTGGAAGAGGGTTAGTCAATGGGTCTACCACTTTCAGATCCATATGTATTTTGCAAATCTCTATGTCTCCCTCATTGACTTGATCACGGATGGAGTTGAAGAGTCTTTTGGTGTGTTTGGTTCTCTTGTGAAATCTGGATTCCTTCGCTAAGGCAATTGCTACAGTATTGTCACTAAAGATTTTCATTGGACCTGATGCATTAGGTATTACACCTAGATCAGATATGAACTCCTTCATCCATACTCCTTCATTCGCTGCTTTCAAAGCAGCTATGTACTCCGCTTCACACGTAGATCCCGCCACGACGCTTTGCTTGGAATTGCACCAACTAATAGCTTCACCATTCAATATAAATACGTATCTGGTTTGTGACTTAGAGTCATCCGGATCAGTGTCAAAGCTAGCATCAACGTAACCATTTACGATGAGCTCTTTGTCACCTCCATAAACAAGAAACATATCCTTAGTCCTTTTCAGGTACTTCAGGATGTTCTTGACTGATGTCCAGTGATCCACTCCTAGATTACTTTGGTACCTCCCTGCTAGACTTATAGCAAGGCACACATCAGGTCTGGTACACAGCATTGCATACATGATATAACCTATGGCTGAGGTATAGGGAATGACTTTCATTTTCTCTCTATCTTCTGCAGTGGTCAGGCATTGAGTCTGACTCAACTTCACACCTTGTAACATAGGCAAGAACCCTTTCGTTGACTGATCCAATTTGAACTTCTTCAAAACTTTATCAAGGTACATGCTTTGTGAAAGTCCAATTAAGTGTCTTGATCTATCTCTATAGATATTGATGCCTAATATATAAGCAGCTTCACCGAGGTCTTCCATTGAAAAAATCTTATTCAAGTAACCTGTTATGCTATCCAAAAATTCTATATCATTTCCAATCAACAATATGTCATCCACATATAATATTAGAAATGCTACAGAGCTCCCACTCACTTTCTTGTAAATACAGGCTTCTCCAAAAGTCTGTATAAAACCATATGCTTTGATCACCTCATCAAAGTGTATATTCCAACTCCGAGATGCTTGCACCAGTCCATAAATGGATCGCTGGAGCTTGCACACTTTGTTAGCACCTTTAGGATCGACAAAACCTTTTGGTTGCATCATATACAACTCTTCTTTAAGAAATCCATTAAGGAATGCAATTTTGACGTCCATTTGCCAGATTTCATAATCATAAAATGCGGCAATTGCTAACATGATTCGGACAGACTTAAGCATCGCTACGGGTGAGAAGGTCTCATCGTAGTCAACTCCTTGAACTTGTCAAAAACCTTTTGCAACAAGTCAAGCTTTGTAGACATTAACATTACCATCAGGATCAGTCTTCCTCTTGAAGATCCATTTATTCTCTATGGCTTGTCGATCATCGGGCAAGTCAACCAAAGTCCATACTTTGTTCTCATACATGGATCCCATCTCAGGTTTCATGGCATCAAGCCATTTTGCGGAATATGGGCTCATCATTGCTTCCTCATAGTTCGTAGGTTCGTCATGGTCTAGCAACATGACTTCCAGAACAGGATTACCATACCACTCTGGTGCGGAACATGCTCTGGTTGACCTACAAGGTTCGGTAGTAACTTGATCCGAAGTTTCATGATCATTATCATTAGCTTCCTCACTAGTTGGTGTAGGCATCACGGGAATGGTTTTTTGTGATGAGTTACTTTCCGATTTGAGAGAAGGTACAATTACCTCATCAAGTTCTACATTCCTCTCACTCACTTCTTTCAAGAGAAACTCCTTCTCTAGAAAGGTCCATTCTTAGCAGCAAAGATCTTGCCTTCAGATCTGTGATAGAAGGTGTACGCAATAGTTTCTTTTGGGTATCCTATGAAGACGCACTTCTCCAATTTGGGTTCGAGCTTATCAGGCTGAAGTTTTTTCACATAAGCATCGCAACCCCAAACTTTAAGAAACGACAGCTTAGGTTTCTTGCCAAACCACAGTTCATAAAGTGTCGTCTCAACGGATTTAGATGGTGCCCTATTTAACGTGAATGCAGCTATCTCTAATGCATAACCCCAAAACGGTAGTGGTAAATCGGTAAGAGACATCATAGATCGCACCATATCTAATAAAGTACGGTTACGACGTTCGTACACACCATTACGCTGTGGTGTTCCAGGTGGCGTGAGTTGTGAGACTATTCCACATTGTTTTAAATAAAGGTCAAACTCATAACTCAAATATTCGCCTCTGTGATCAGATCGTGGAAACTTTATTTTCTTGTTACGGTGATTCTCCACTTCACTCTGAAATTCTTTGAACTTTTCAAATGTTTCAGACTTGTGTTTCATTAAGTAGATATACCCATATCTGCTCAAACCATCTGTGAAGGTTAGAAAATAACGATACCCGCCGTGAGCCTCAATACTCATTGGACCGCATATATCGGTATGTATTATTTCCAATAAGTTAATGGCTCGCTCCATTGTTCCGGAGAACGGAGTCTTAGTCATCTTGCCCATGAGACATGGTTCGCGAGCATCAAATGATTCATAATCAAGTGATTCCAAAAGTCCATCCACATGGAGTTTTTTCATGCGCTTTACACCAATATGACCTAAACGGCAGTGCCACAAATATGTTGCCCAGACGGTGAAACAGCTTGAGCGACTGCTTGACGAGAACAAAGTTGTCGTGTAGGCTTCGTCCCGGATGAATGCATTTTGGTTGCGGCTGACAAGGCGGTCTAGCTTGGCACTCAGGCGGATCGAAAGCACTTTGGCAAATAGATTGGCCACTATGTGGATGAGGCTGATAGGCCGGTAGTCCCGCAGACCGTGGGCGGCGGCGTGCTTGGGGAGCAGCGTCAGCAGCGCCTGGTTCAGCTTGTTGAACCCTCTTCCTCGCAGGTCGTAGAGCTGTTGGAACACGTCGAGGAAGTCCTGCTTGATGATGCTCCAGCACGCGCGGAGGAACTCCGCCGTGAATCCGTCGGGGCCAGCAAGATATGAAATTTGGCCAAAGAGTGGATTGCTAGTGTCGAGGAGACGTATGCAACTCAAATCCAACAATTCAGTAAGATTTGTACCGTCTCAAAATTTACTCATGAACTCATGAACTCTCAAATTAGCACTGCCTCAAATTAGTACTGCATCTCATATGTTTCCGTGGAAATTTCTTTCTGTGGAAATGTGTAACTCTGAACCTAACTTACTTCTGTATATCTGAAAGGCTGGATTTTGTTTACACATTGCATCTCTTCTCCAGGGAGGCGACATACACTGCCCAGTGGACTGAACTGAACTGAACTTCCTTTCTCCCTCTACACTACTGTCAAGTGTAAACCCATGTGATGTGAGAGTGACTGTCAATATGAAGCATGTTCCTCACTATTGATTATCTATTCTCGACAAAATAATATGCATCCGAGCATCAGAATGATGTGCCACTGTCATTTTGTAATTGTCATTTTTACTTGACTGGGCACTGACATGGTGGAGTATTTCTGAATAACTTCACTGAATAACTGGACATTGTCAATTTGGATCAGAACATCAGAATGATTTTGCATCAGAGCATCAGACTAAGTTCTGAATAACTGGACACTGTCAATATGGATAAGAGCATTAGAATGATTTTGCATCAGAGCATCAGACTAAGTGTTCCGAATTTTCCAACAAACTTTACTCAATTTGAATTTCAATTTCAGTCCACCATCTTCACTTTCAATTTCAGTTCACCGCCTTGACTGATGGACTCACCATAGGAAGCAGCAGCAGAGGCGAGGACAGGGAAGCAACAGTAGCAAGAGGCCAGCACCGGAAATTACCAGCAGCAGGACTAGCTCGGGGAACCAGCAACATCCTAGTCGACGTCCACCACCACCAGCAGGGCGGCGCACGTGCGTGGAGCAGGTGGGCGGCCGAAGCGGCGCCGCAGGTGGGCAGAGCAGGTGGGGCGGTCGTGGATGCGGCGCAGATGGGCTGATGGGCGGCCGTGGCGGAGGCGGAGGTCACCTCCGTGGCGGCGGTGCGGGTAGGCACCGGCGCAGGGCGGGGGCGAAGGTGGGCGGTGGAGGCACGGGTGGGCGGAGGCGCTAATCCCCGACCCGGTGGCTAGCGCAGGTGGGCGGCGGCGAAGCGCGATGATGGTGTGTGGACGGAGGAAGGAGACGGGGATTATTTTGTAAAATGTTTGAAAGTGCGAGGTTTTTTTTTGCAAACAGGTAATTGTACTTTCCGGACAGAGGGAGTATTAGATTATATCTGTGCTTAACGACGAATTGTAACTCTGGATAATGATGCGACTTGATATTGGTATACATGTACATAGCATTTTCAGATATCGGTCTACATGTGCAACTGTGATTATGTTTTCCCCATGATGTGGCCTTTACATTCTTTTGGGCAGTTGGTGAAGGTTAGCTTATACAATTTCAGTTTTGTGGTAAATATATAACCTTTTACGGATGAGTAATATGTCTGAAACTTCATATACGTGGTCAAGCAATTTTGAAGGTAATTCAAATATAGTCCAGTTGAAGGTAATTGCCTAGGTTTAATTGAGAAATGAGGTTACATTTACATGACACAAAGCTAAACAAAGTTTTTGGTTTGAGTTGATTCTTGACTTTGTGTGAGCATAATATCATAATATCATAGTACAGTAAATCTAATGTTCCCCATTGCAACGCACAAGCACTTATCTAGTACAGTAAACAATGTCTTAATTTTGCGTGAGCATAATATCATAGGAGTCACAAAAACAACTGCTTGTCTAACATGCAACACCAACTTCCACAAGAGGAACTGATAGATAAGCAAATTAACACCAACAGGGTGTTATTATGATGCAGTTTGTTTATAGCCAGAACGCCTGGGGACGCAAGAATAATGATTCACTAATTTCCTTCTTAGGAAGCTTGAAGTACCGAACCCGTCGGCTCTCACCCAATGTTAAGTCTCCGCTCTTGCTGCACTTGAGAGAAAACATCGTCAATCGAAGAAACATGCAAGGAGCTTTATCTTTGTTGCCAACCTCAATGCACTCCACAAGGCAGTAATCGCTGCTACGTCCCATGTGAAGGAGGGTTGCACCTATGCTCGTCTCAGCAGGGTCCACGGTGAACAGACATTCCTCAGTGTACTTCACGGCTGGGCGCACCTTAGAGGTCACAGAAGCCAAGCTGCAGGAGCAGATGTGTCCAGGTTTCTCTTTGTACAAGGCAAGTCCAACCCAGGTGCCAAGCATAAGATCAAAAGTAACCACAGCCATCAAACGGCAGTATCCACTCACCATGGTTTGTCCACTTGAAGCTTCCGTCGTCTCCCATGTGAAGGCTGTGGGTGGTGTGGGTAGCTATATCGCTGCTGACAAATATGGTTCGACTGTCAGGGAGGACAGCGTGGGAGATCACAGACATAGAGTCAATGGGCACATCTTTGAGCTTGTGCCACGATGAGGCATCCAACTGGCTGCTTAGGCCCACCAGCGGCTGCAGGTCAAGGATTTCCAAAGAGAAGTTCCCAATGCAAAGAGCTTGTCGCCAATGGGGAGGTAAATGGACCTGAACTGATCAGTGTGGCGCGGGATGCAGTTGAGTCTCCGATTGTGGACATCAAAGCAGAAAGCACCCCGGTCAGCATTCTCTTTCTTGGGATGCATTGCCAAGATCTTGGAACCAATGGCATCAGAGAAGTAAATGGGATAGCTGCACTTTGCCCTAAAGCGGATAGATGGAGCTGGCAGGGCAACCTCCAGTGCCTTGTAGCCTCCTGGTATCAGCTGATCAGTGTCCAAATCAATCTTGCGGATGCTGAATCCCAACTCCCAGTCATCAAAGATTATATAAAGATGCTTCTTCGGCTTTCTCATCTTACACATTATGAGGCCAAACTGCCTACTTACCTTTTTACTTGGCTGCTGCCAGCCCTTAATCCTGCAATTCGAATTCGAATCAGCAGTAAATAAGAATCAATAGCAAATCTTACTCCTAACCAAAATTGACAAATCCTAAGATCCAATTAATCTACTGCAAAACAAGAATCGATCCACCATAATCATACTCCTAAAACTGATTTTTCCTATACTCCTCTGAAGCTTTATAGGGGATCGGTTAGAGATGCTCTTAATCAATGCATCACCAATCTAGTATAACTATGAAAGGCAAATCCGAAGATCTGATGAATCCATGAATCTATCAAAAAATAAGAAGCAGTACAGCACAGTAATAAGATCAGAATAATCCATTGTAAAATAATAATAAACACATCCCCCTTCTACTCCTAGAACTTATCGACAAATTCCGTACCAGAATCTGAATCGAGGTGACAAGAAAACAAAAGGAGGGAATGAAGCCGTTTCCACGCACATCAAATCGAAGATAAAAGAAATAAGAACCAGTACAGCACAATCACAAGATCAGAACAATCCATTGTAAAATAATATAATCAACAAATTCCCAATCCTACTCCTACTACAACTTGAATCGACAAATTCCATACAAGGATCTGAATCAAGGCAACAGGAAAACAAAAGGAGGGAAGAAAGTCGTTTCCACGCACCTCAAATCGAAGATGAAACGTCGGGGGAGAGGTGGATTACCAGAGCGAAGTAAAAGGCGGCGGAAACGGAGGGAGTTGAGATCGAGACGGAGGATTGCTGGGGTATAAAAGGTCCCCGAGGAAACCCTACTATCTCCGGGTCCGGTGGTGACTAGAAGACCCAATGGGCCGGGCCATTGGCCATTGGACTTTTTCCGCCAGCCGAAACCTCTGTTTGGGCCGGCCCATTTCGGGTTTCTTCCCCCATCGGTTTTGGGAAGATTTAGGAATTCCTTTATTTATTCCCTTTATTTATAAATTCTCAAAAAAAGGAATTGCTTTATTTATTCTAAAAAAAGAATTCCTTTATTTTAGAACCTTCCTTGAACCAGGTTTTCATATTTTTTTTCGCCTTTTTCTATCTTGTTTGGTTCTTTTGGGTTTTTTTCTTGTTTTCCCTTTTTATTTTCCTTTTCTTTTTTTTACGTTAGTTTTCTTTTTTCTTTTTCTTTTCTTTTCTGTTTTTTCTTTTTCATTCTTCACTACAAAATTGACCTGTGCAACTGGAGAAAAAGTTTTTCATGTCTCTAGCTCATGGCATTAAACTAATCTAAAAGAAACTGCATTATACTGGTAGAAGGCCCGTGCATTGCTACGTGCTACAGTACATATAAATAAATAAAAAATTATAAAGGTCGTCCCTAAGTTGAAACTCATTTCTTTCTCATACGTCTGGACATCCAACAAGCATCCCAAAATTCAACCGTCTTAATAGTCTTGGCTCCCCCAAATGCAGACCATATGTGTGTCTGGATTACCCATCATGTTATCCCCAACACACGAGTCTAACACAAAGAACCCATCTACCTCGAGATCGTATGTTGTGGTCTAAACCCTAATGGTATGATGGATGAATATCATAATGATCTATCGACTAGCCCAGTCTCGGCTTATATAATGTACCAGAGGCCTAGCATAACAAGAGTCCTAGTCGAATACATCGGTGGAGAGGAGTACTTGTCTTGATCACCAAGTCTTGTGGAATCTTCCTCGTGTATGTAATCGGCTGCCCGAAGTGGCCCATTAGTAAACCGCCATGGGGGTCCTCGGCCCGATCCACCTGGTCGAGAGATGACGTGGTGAGTACCCCCTAGTTCAGGACACCATCACTCGAATTCGAGCCTGAGAGCAATAGATCGAGGCGGCGCCGTTAGGTTGTTAACAGGTTGGGTGTGAGAAGGGGAAGGGTTGCGGGCAGGGCTACGAGGACGTGGACAGGAATCATGATCATTCATTTTGCATCAGACGTTAATCGATGTCAGTGAATGAAATGCTTCCAATTCAGCCCTGTAGTGGTGGCCTAGGACAGTCGGCCCAGGATCGGCCCAAGCGGGAGAAAACAATTCTCTCGATGGCCAAGAACGACTGAGACACATGACCTGATGGCCAGAAATTATTCAACGCGAAATCTGACGTCCAAATTTATTGATGGCCTGAGATAGCTCGGTTTGGGCTCAATTTTACTATCTTTAATTGCTATTGAACATGCAAATCAACTCATGTTTTCGGTTGAGTCATTGACGTGTACGGATGGCATGTTTTTGAGCTTTGAATGGCATTTTTGTAGTGGAATTTCTGGAAAGGAAATGACACTGGAGCTATGAACCGTCACATCAATAAATTAAAGATGGCACACTTACGTTCATCTCTAGAGTTGAAGTTGGCATATTGGCGTCCGTCTACTCCACTAAAGATGGCATACTTGCATTTTTCCGAGTTGCCGGTGGTGTCGTCCATGGGCCAATGCCCATGATCATACAAGCAACCACCATGCTTCTAACATAGTGGCCATATCAATACTATTGATAAGCTTACTGTATGTTCTCATTGTTGTCTTCTGTATGCCAAAAGATTTGACGATCTGGACAATAACACACTAAGCTACACCTCAAACAACAACAACAGGTTGTCACATGGGCGCCTGGCGTGCGCCGCGTCGTCCACCCCGCAAGTATATTAATAAGGCTTTGTTTGGTGACCAGGGGAAGAACGCCTAGGGTAGTAAATCCCGATAGGGGAATTTGAAGATCACATAGGACCCACTTCCTTCAACGGGGGAGAGATCTCCTCCTTGAGATGGCTATTTGATGGTCGAGGGGGCGAGAAGAGGAGAGGAACGGAGCAAGGCGGCGGAGAGTCGTCAGTTCAGATCTTGGATGGAAACGATGCGGGAGAATTTTCCGCGAGGGTCGAGCTGTGGGAAAGAGAAGATTTTTTTAGTAAAGGCTGCCACGTGTTCATAAGAAATATAGTTACAACTGTTGGGTAACGTAGCAGAAATTCAAAATTTTCCTACGTGTCACCAAGATCTATCTATGAAGAGACTAGCAACGAGGGGAAGGAGAGTGCATCTACATACCCTTGTAGATCGCTAAGCGGAAGCGTTCAAGTGAACGGGGTTGATGGAGTCGTACTCGTCGTGATTCAGATCACCGATGATCCTAGTGCCGAACGGACGGCACCTCCGCGTTCAACACACGTACAGCTCGACGATGTCTCCCACGCCTTGATCCAGCAAGGAGAGAGGGAGAGGTTGAGGAAGACTCCATCCAGCAGCAGCACAACGGCGTGGTGGTGATGGAGGAGCGTGGCAATCCTGCAGGGCTTCGCCAAGCACCTACGGGAGAGGAGGAGGTGTCACTGGAGGGAGGGAGGCACCAAGGGCTCAGGTATGGATGCCCTCCCTCCCCTCCACTATATATAGGGGCAGGGGAGAGGGGGGAGGCGCAGCCTTGCCCCTTCCTCCAAGGAAGGGGTGCGGCTAAGAGGGGGGGAGGAGTCCATCCTCCCCAAGGCACCTCGGAGGTGCCTTCCCCCTTGAGGACTCTTCCCTCTAGGGTTCCCTGGGCGCATGGGCCTCTTGGGGCTGGTGCCCTTGGCCCATGTAGGCCAAGGCGCACCCCCTAAAGCCCATGTGGCCCCCCGGGGCAGGTGGCCCCACCCGGTGGGCCCCCGGGACCCTTCCGGTGGTCCCGGTACAATACCGATGACCCCGAAACTTGTCCCGATGGCCGAAACAGGACTTCCTATATATAAATCTTTACCTCCGGACCATTCCGGAACTCCTCGTGACGTCCGGGATCTCATCCGGGACTCCGAACAACATTCGGTAACCACATACAAGCTTCCTTTATAACCCTAGCGTCATCGAACCTTAAGTGTGTAGACCCTACGGGTTCGGGAGACATGCAGACATGACCGAGATGTTCTCCGGTCAATAACCAACAGCGGGATCTGGATACCCATGTTGGCTCCCACATGTTCCACGATGATCTCATCGGATGAACCACGATGTCAAGGACTCAATCAATCCCGTA